GAGTTGCATCCACTACTCTCCCCTCACCACAAATCCAGTCATTTTATCTTAGAAGACTAGGCATGATTTTCCCTTTATAAAATCCATGCTGGTTGTTCCAAATCAGTGTCTCCTTAGCGTATCCAGAAATGTGCCTCAAGAGGCCTTGATCCATGACTTGATCCATGACCAAGCTGGTCATGACTTTTTTTGAAGCTGGGTGAAACACTTACCTCTTTACTTACTTGGGATCCTCCTCAGTCTACTCAACATTTCAAAAATGACATAGTGGCTTCACTGCATTATTGTCAAGTTCTTTCATCCCTACTGAATGCGGCCTGTCTGCTCCCATGGACTTGACCCTCATCTACTGCTGGTAATTTTTCTCCCTGAACTCTGCCTTTCAGTCAAGATGAAAGACCTTGTATGTGAAGGCTGAGACAAATGAGGCACTACGTAACCCAGCTTAGTCTGTGCCCACTCTCACTGAATATTCTACCCCATTCAGCATCAGTTCTATGTTTTCCTTGTTCAGTTTTCCGGTACCAGTGAAACAGTAGAAGCTCTTCTTGTTGTGCCTCACATCCCTGGCAAGTTTCAGCTCTACTTGAAGTATGGCTTTACTAACCCCATCACTTTGTGCCTAGGCAATATTTTTAAATTCCTCATTTGTTGTCTATTCCTGCTTCCCCCTCCTGTATGCTGCTTGATTGTTCTAGGGCTCAGTCAGAGTTTCTTATTTACACTATCCAGTCTCCTGGTAGAGCTACTTGACATACTGTGTATTGCACTTCTATTTGGAGGATGCTGTACTTAAGGCCTTGGCGGATCTCCTGAGCTACTTCTGAACTATTTCTCATGGGATCCCACCGATAGTTGATAAAGCTAAAATTTGCTCTGCTAAAACCCAGGGGCTACACTGTCCTATTTGCCTTCCTTACTCCCCTTAGGATCTCTAACCCTGATATTTTCATTGTTACTACACTCAAGTAGTGTCACAGGTGATCGCATAATCGCATCACAAAGTAGTTATTTCTTCTTTCATTTCAGGATTTGTTAGAAGAAAGTTTGATTCACTTTCTTACTTTGATCATTTGAAATGTTAGTCTCACTTTTTGTTCTGAATATGTTGCCTTTACAGAAAGGGTTGTTAAGCACTGGAATAGGCTCCCCAAGGAGGCTGTTGAGTCACCATCCTTGAATATGTTTAAAAACTGTTTGGATGTGGTGCTCAGGGACATGATTTACCAGAGGGTTGCTAGTTAGGGTAGTATGGTTAGCTTGTGGTTGGACTCAGGGATCTTTAAGGTCTTTTCCAACCTGAGCAATTCTATGATTCTGTGCTACTTCTTCCATAGAGACTCCATCTTCTAGACCCTATGCCACTTGAGACTATGATAAGAGTCGTGCAGCAGGTGGATGAATTTTATGGTGTGTATTAGAGGGGTGCAAGCCATTTTGGCATGATGCTTATAGGAGGGCTCTGAAGCCCCTGTGCGATGGAGACATGTTGATCTGGAAAATGCTCCTGACCAAAATGCCAGTCCCCAGCCCCACACGTGCTGCCAAGTGACACACAGCAATTTGACAGCAGCAGTTTTGGTCCAAAAGCTCACTCCAGAACATAGAGTAAACATATACTGCAGATATTCCAAGAGAGAAATGTTTTCTGTAACACTGGGACATCTGACATCACCTGAAACCTGCTTTGAACTCCACATTACTGTAGTGGTGATGTTATGCAACAAGCAAAATCTAAGCCAGGCCTTTTCCAGCACACACCTGCTAACAGAGGTACAAGCAAGCTGTATGTGATACTCAGCAGGTAGTGAACAGAGAAATATCTACATAAATTAGACATTCCAATTCTTAAACAAAATTATGCTTTGTTGGGATTAAATATAAGGTCTCCACTGCGCAGTTTTCAATGTTCCTTTCTAACATATGCAGCCTTTAAAGGTCTTAGCCTGTTCTGTGTGTGTGGAGATTCCAGTACCTTGAAGCCATGGCACGGCAGGCAGCTCACAGCTTCTTACCTCAGCTGACTCCAAAAAAAAATACCATGTCAGTCTAATTAAATAGACAGCTGTAGCCTTTCATAAGTTGAAGAAACATACTGCCCTTTGCTGTTTCTATGGCCTTCAGAAAGAGTACAGTCACTCACGATGACTTCAGCATAGCCCATATGTGTACACTGAAATCAAACAACCCTCCAGTTGCCAGATTTTTCCATATATAAAGTGCAATGAAAATGTGACTGGGGACTTTAAAGCCAAAAAGAAGTTTAGAGAAAAACATGAATGGAGTGCAGATGGAGTGAGGAAGATGTCCTGTTTTTAAAATGTCCTTATGTCATTCTACCTGTTTATATTTGCATAGGAATTCTGAATCAGATTAGCCTTTATACAATCCCCCCAAAACAGTTGAATTTATTCTAGCTTTTATTATGTGCTAAAGAACCTGCAAGATGAACATTTTTCACCAGAGATCACTTTCACATGTGATGTGAATCTCTATTCTCCTGGATGTGGAAAAATATCTGGTGTCTGAGAAGAACTGTTAGAGTTTGAGCATCTTTAAAGGAATCTAAGAAAATAGGAATTAATAATTTGGCAGATTGTGTCTGAGTTTATTGTATCTGACAGGTGAAAGGTACACGTGGAGGGACTGTAATTACACCAGGGTAAATATCAGTCACTTGTGAGTCCCTCTGAGAAATCTTGTGGTTTGACTGTAGAAGTTTGCAACTGTCTCAAAATAGTGAGATTCATATACAAAGCCATGTATTGGCCTATCTGTTCCTGAGAGAAATTATACATAGGAATTCAGTGGAGAAACTATTGCTGTAATAGGCAACACATGCAGCTTGTTGCAGGTTAACAAGAGGTTGGGTGTGTTTTATCTGCCTGGTGGGAAGCAAAAAGAATTCCTTTTGCTAACAGGGTCGTGTTCACAGTTTGCAACATCTAATATTGCAACATAATGCATCTATGACTCAGACCCCCTTCACACACTACATTACTTCAATTTTATATGAAATCTTTGCTAATGTTTCACTTTCACATTGTATTTATTCTCCTATCCAGAGCTCTGTCACTCAGACATCACGTGCCTGTGGTTAAGGGGATCTTTAGCCACCCCATCTGCTGACGGCAGAATTAACTGCCTTTGCACTTGTGTAACAGTACAATTTTATTTCCACTTCTGGTTTACTGGAAGTAGGATTAGGGATGAGCATTAAAATTAAGAGCCTGGACACTGCAAACAGCATTCCCTGAGAGGCTGCCATGGCTTTCTGCGTTTAAAAGCGTATTCTGAAATGAATCTTTAGATTTCATGGTGCACTAATCACAGACTGTAACATCAGAGGGCATGGAGGGATTTATAACCACTACCAGAGTCGACATCGTTCTTTATAAATTTAGATAAGTAAAAATACATCTGTCAGACATTATTTAGATCACAGAGGTTTTTGAAATTATTGAATTATCGTTGCATCTTCAGGTATCGCAGCATTGGTGCAAAAAGCAATCCGGAATGAAAACACAGAGTAAATCCTCAGCAGCAAGGAGGATGCTGTTCACCCAAATGCAGCAGTTCTGCAGGTTCTCCCCACGCCCTTAAACCTCTCTTAATCCCTTCCCAAAATGGGCACAACTGGAGCTGGCCTGCGCAGCTCTTACGTGATGCTCTGGAGCCTGTTTTCTTGGGTCAAAGTATGAGTGCACAGAGTAATTGTCTGAGACACTTTATGCAAGCCTCAGTGGTCCCAGCTTTCTATTTAAAGCACATAGAGGATGGAGCTGCGTGTAGGCTGGCTGTGGGCACGGCTCTGCCTTCTCCTCTGCAATCTCAGCAGATTCCTGCTTACACACACACACAGAGCGTAGTTTCAGGGCTGGAGCTCATCCTAATGTAGTAACACTACTCAACAACACCCAGCTGCCAGGTTTCCCCCTTCCCAGTGCTTTCTGAGGGATGGACAGAGCCACTTTGCAGTCTGCCTTCACTTGGCAGCAAAACCAAAAAAATCAGCCCTGATAATGTTTGGCTCTACTTCTGCAATGGTTACTACACTTTCTAATGTATGTAAACCAACTGCTGATAAGTAAAGTTTAACCCTGATGCACATGCCGTTGGGGAGTTACTGAGCTGTGCTTCTTTAAAAGGGAGTGCCGTGATGGTATTTTAACAACCATTTCCCATGCAGAGACACTCAATGGCAGAGTGATTGTTTAAAAGAAAATCTCTTTTCCTTGATCTTACCATAAGGTGCTCTCCCACAGGGGACCATTTCTCTCAGAACTGTTGGCCACTGTCTGGTGTCAGCAGGACTCCCCAGTGCAAGGCTTCTATGAAGTGCTGGTTGCAGCACACCCCATGTGCTTTGTGACAGTTTGTGCTCCACTGCTGTTATCTGCAGTGGGCAGACATTGCAAGCTGTCACAGCGGCAGTGTGCAGTGATGGCTGCATGGCATGAGGTCATGACTTGCCCTATGCAGAAAATGCTTCCAGCTGGTTCTGAAGGAACTGAAAACATTATGCTGAAAATACCCTATGCACCAAAACGTGCCATCAGTGTCAAAATCTCGTCTGTGAAGCACTGGATCCCCCTATATAAACAGATGTGAGAATGAAACTGGCAGCCACTGGGTCGGGAGAGTGGAAACTCCACCCAATGGCATGTCCAGGAGGGACTGCAGCCCATGGGTGACCCACTGTGCAGCAGGGACATACCTGAAGGACTGTGTCCTGTGAGGGACTTGCTCCTGAGAAAGGACATTCAGGGACAGGGCAGCTGAAGCCAGTGTCGTGTGGTAGGAACTGTGATGCTAAGTGTCAGGAGTCACAGACCATTATGCACAAGGCAGCAGAACACTATTACACACGCTGCTCCAATTGCCTGTGCCACCTGCTCCTGGAGAGAGGAGTCCTGTCTGTAGCAAAATAAGGGAAGATGAGACTGGGAAGGGAGGAGGATAGAGGTTTGGGTGTTTATCTGTGTTCTTCTTTCCCTCAGAAAGTGATCAGAAATTTGTGTGGCCTGGCAATTTCCTGACTCCAAACCGTTTTGTCCGTGACAGCTATCTACAAAGTGTGTTTTAATTAACTGCATACAAAACACTATCCTACATGACTATTTCTGCTTCTGCAGGAACAGTTTGTACCAACTATTTGCAAATCTCTTATCTATGTACAGTTTGATCTCCTCTGCAGCAGAATGGTGTGAAAAGCTCAAGGACGCTCCGCCCCGGATGTTCATCAATCAATACACACACATTGAGGTGTTCAGGGGAGATGTGATACAGAGGAGCTACCTGGGATAATCCCTAGAACAGACCAAAATTCTCATGCAGAGAGCTCCTGTGTACCAAGCACTTAATTACCATGATGGGAAGGAGTTCATACCTGCTTTCAGAGCAGACTGTTTCCTCAGACCAGCTCTAATGTCTTCTGATGACAAGCTGGGGAATTCCTGATCCACAAGGGAACTGATGACAGGTGCAGTGTGTGTGCAGAGGCACAGCCCTGATACCCAGCTACACCACAGTTATAGCTATGGGACAGACTTGAGATTTGTACTTAGAAGTCTGACATCTCCTACTACACTAAGATACTGTCCTAGCCTTCAGAATTTTGGTGTCTCTGGTTTTGGATTACTGACTGAAAACCTTTACTCAAATCAATTCTTGATTTTAAACTTCCCAGGAAAAATTGTGATACTGTCCCGAAGAATCTTTTATTGATTCAAACGTATGACTTTTCTCAACCATTTTAAGAGGATCACTGGCCTCACACATTTGTCCAAATACCAGCTTGTAATGAGTTAATTGGGTGTAAACTGCTATGACATCCATGTCATTATCTTTAAACTTTTCTTCATTTTGCTATTTACTATCAATGGGTTTTACTGTCTGCACATCATCATGCACCGAAGCACAAGTATGTAATCAGAGCAGTTTGGTCTAATAGAGGAAACATAATGGCCTCTACTGAACTTCTTGGGATTATACTGGGCTGATCTCTTCTGTAAAGGCACATGGAATCGTGGCTCTGTTTCCGCTGCTCTCCAGGTCCTCAGAGACAGTCTTTCTGAAGCGCCATTTTCCCCCATCCCCAGGAATTGTGCCACCTGTCCTAGACCTGCCATGTGGGACACGCAGCTGCTGTGGTCCTCTGAGATCGTCTAGGTTGCAGTGTTCAGCACCACTGTTCAAGTACAGACTTGGAGAAAGCCAGTAAATTTGTCAAGAACTGCTCCAGGGAAATGTTTCTGTTACAAACACTGCAGTCATACAATCTCTCTTTTTCTCAATAAGAAGAAAAAACTGCCCCAGGGCTAGATCTCCAAGATACTACCCACAGGCTGTTTTGGTTGTGTTTTTATTTGGAAAAGAAAAGCAACCACTATCAGCAACCCTTGCAGCAAAGCTGAAGCAGCCCAAACATTTCCTTGAAGCGTGTCTTCTCAGTCATTCCAATTAGCAGTTGCTATAATATGACATTGTGACTGGTTCTCAAGTTGAGGAGGAAAAGGGGTGCTGAGAAATGGGTTTTGAAATAGTAAGAGGGAAGTTATTTGATAACAGCCTGAGGTCACGACACGCTGCATCTGGGGATTTCACTTCAGGTTTAGGTTTCTTGGGAGGAAGAACTGTAACTCTGCCTGTGTGTATTCTGAATACCACCCGCTGATGGAGGCTGCCCTCCCAGCTGGGCAACCCTGAAATACCAATGAATAAATGATAATCATCTCCAGTTTAATGTCTGTCTGTGGGAATGGAACACAGCACTGTTTAATTTTGACCAGCAATAACCCTGAGCAAATTAGTAACATCTGGTCTCCACTCAGAGCTTTCTTGACCAACAGAAAATAAAATAGAGAAGTTTCATAAAGCAACGTCAATCCCCAGAACTGTCAGAGTCACGCTGTGTGTCCTTCTCTTCAGCAGTGCCCCCAGGACCGTGCCCACTGTGACACAAGAGTGACAAGGCCTGGATCCCAGGCCTCAAGTGTTCTTGCCCACAGCTTTGGGTTTCCAGCAAAAACAGAACACAAACTTTGTCATGCTATTAAGTTATATTCATCCTCGCTAACCTCTTGTGATGAATGGCTCCATCTGAGTGTAGTGCTGCCAGCCTCTTTACATCCCCACGAAATACGATTACAATATATCTTACGGACCTGACAGGGAGAAGAGCTACAGCCTTTTTATGCAGGAAAAACTCCCCGAGGAAATGGGATGAAATGGAACAACCTCAGAACTTACTGCAGGAAAAAGCATTTCAGGCAGCCCAGTGGGGCCCAGGGACCCAAGCAAACAAAGGACTTTGTTTTCTGTTACAGGGCTGTCCGTGCTGAGGGGTGACAAGCTCCTGGAATAAAACTAGAGCTGGAACAATGGAATGGCATGGAAGAAACCAGTTCCTAAATGTTTTCAAATACAACAGTGTCCTCTCCCTTTCTCAGGCTTACAATCAAACAGGGACCTGGGCCAATCTGTACTGCAGTGGCCCAGAAGTGGTGGTGGCAGTGTTCTGCTGGAACTTGAGCTTATGGTCAGCAGCCCAAAGAACATGGGGCCCAGCATGGGCTGGCCTGCCCTGATGGCAGCAGTACATGGAGGGCTGGGAGGGAGCTGCCAGGCACTGTGCTGGCTCTGGGGCGTTCCATGGCTTTTTATCAGGTGCCAGTGTGTGCTGCCAGCTGTCAAATGGAGGCATCTCTTTTCAACACTGCCTTGCACAAGAGCAGGCCCCAGGCTTGCTTCCTGACTCTCCCCAATATGCAGTCTGCCAGGTAAGGCAGCTCCTCCCATCACAAGGCCACAGCGGGCTGTGAGCTGACATCCTCCTTCCCCACGTGCTCTTCTGTCTGGCAGTGCTGACTGAACCCATGGCCATGGGCCTCCTCACCCCTCACAGCATCCTGTGTAAAGAAGTGCTGAGAGGGTGAGGCCACAGTATGTTCCCAAAGGAGCATGGAGAAAGGCATCTTTGGGAGGAGGGAAATGTACTCCCAGCTTTGCAGTGCTGTTTAGACAGAGCAGGCTATGTATGCTCAGAGAGGCAAAGATAAACTTATTGTTGCTGAACAAATATTATGTAAACAGGGATTTTGCCATCTGTGCTCCAATATTAGATTTCCAGTACTATTTACATGTAGACAGACAATTTTTAAGTGAGAATTAATATTTGCCCCCAGGTGAAATGTGGGGGAAAAATAAAAGTCAATTCTAATTGAATCCCATTTCTGCATTGGAATTGCTCTTAAAGCCCAGGCATACAGCATAGCCACAGCAGGGATGTGAGTGCCTCCTGCTATTCCAGACACACTATGATGAGCTCAGCAGGCCAGCAGGAACCCAGCTGGCTTCCATTACACCTCCTTGGCGATGCCCTTTTACAGCCCGCTGTCTCAGAGACTTTGTGAACTTTCCATTCAGCATTTTCCTGTTTCATTGACCTATACCTTAAAGTCAGACTTAATCCTGACAAGGCTGGAAGTCAGGATCTGTTGAGATCTGCCTGAACCTGGCAGGCTGATTCCTGGGACTGAGAGCAAGGAGGGAACAGATGCAAAACCCAAGGTGAGCAGCGTTGATGTTTTGACTGATCATAGAATCGTGGAATCTTGAATATCTACACAGAGAGAGACTCCACAACCTGTTCCAGTGCTCTATCACTCTGACCGTGAATAAGTTCTTCATTGTGTTAATATGGAACTTTCCATGTTCCAGTTTCTGCTCACTGTCCCTTCTTGTACTGTTGCCTACCACTGAAAAGAGTGCTTTCATCAGCTTGACTCCTTCACTTTAGATGTATATAAACAATGATGAGACCCTCTCTCCACCTTCTCTACTCCTAGCTGAATAGCTTCAGATCTCTCAGTCCTTCTGTGCATGGGAGATGCTCCAGGCCCTCAATTATCTTTGTTGCCCTCCTTTGGACTCCTTCTTGGATATCTGTTTTCTTTTTTTGTCAAGGAAGCACACAGTACTCCAGATGTGGCCTCACCAGGGCAGAGTAGAAGAGGAAGATTACCTCTCCCAGCCTGCTGCACATGTTCATTTTAATGCATGCCATGATACCACTGGCCTTCTTGGCCTCAAGGGTTATGGATAATCCAGGGTTATGGACAACCTGTTGTCCACCAGGTCTTTCTCTGCAGAGGCCCTCTCAACTAGGTCATCCTCTAACCTGTACTGATGCATGCAGTTATTCCTTCTCAGGTGCAAGACTCTACACTTTCTCTTGTGTCATCAGTGTCTTCTCTGTCCAACTCTCCAGCCTGTTCAGGTCTTGCTGAATGGCAGCACAGCCTTCTGCTGTGTCAGCCATTTCTTACAGCTTAGTATCACCAGCAAACTTGATGAGGGTAGACTTTGCTAATGTTGAGGCTACATTTACGTTAAGAAATAAAAATATATTCTCTGAGCCTGCTGCCTTGGTGTGTTTTATAAAATTATAGAATATCTCAGGTTAGAAGGGACCCATAAGAATCAAGTGAGCCTTACTTCCCAAACAGTGTGAGGTCCATCACTAAAATTCCTCTGAGCCTTATCTCACTACTGGGCTAATTGTGGCCAGAGCACGTACTAGCATGGGACATGGCACTGGAAGATCCCCATACCTGATCAGTGCTCCCACTTAGAAATTTCCTGCCTACCTGCAAGTTTGCAGAGAATGTGGCAAGCCAGGCTGAGTGCAAAAAGCAGAAGGTAGGAGACAAGTATGACAACAGGACACTTTGTATGTCCTATGATATCATTTGTGAGACATGTGGTGAGAATGCATTAAATGTGCTTCAGTCTTCGAGTGGATTTCCTTTTTGACATCCTACAAGCTAATAACCACCAGAGGCATCACTGGTGTCAGGATCAAGGAGAAGTGTTGAGCTGTCGGCACCACTCATGTTTTCTGGGTCCCTTTGGCAGGTGTGTCCAGTTAGACCCATCTCTCCTAGCTTCTCAGAGACATGTTGCTGATTTTCTACATGGACAGAAATCTGTCAGGAGGGGTTTTTCCTCTTGTTACAAACATGGCTTTCAAAACCACCTTCTATCACATGTGGGAGCCATGATTAGCACTCATATGAGGCAGAAGCTCCTCAGGGGGTGGGGAGGAGGAGAGAGTTTGAGAGCTGAAGAGGTCCTGAGAATGAACACACTTTGCCAAAATACATTATTTTGTTTCATCACAGCAAAATTATAAGGTGACACGACACTCTCAGCACAGAAAAGCCACAAAAGCATGCACAGGGTTTGTGGCGGATAGCATTTCTGCTTGGCCATATGGGCTCTTGTGCGTGAGAAGGGATTTGGCTAACCCTGAGCATGATGCCATCTGCCAGATCTGTCCATTTCTCCTTCAGTATCTGTGTAATACTCCTTTTATGTACTCACAGCAAATGGCAGACCACCTGTGTGTTTTATCTTTTTAAATGAAACTAAGTTCGCTGTGTTGTGGGGTTTTTTTTGTTTTTTTTTTTTTTTCCTCTCTTCTTCCTGGACACAGCAGTATTTTTTGATGTCTGAAGTCAATGCTGTACAAAGGTCTTGTACAATCAATAGATATCAAGATGTTATAATCACAGTATAATCAAGAGAGTTAGGCAAAGTAGACAACAATAACAAAAACAGAATAAGTGGAAGAGCTTACCCTTTGGCTGGGCTCACCACAAAACACCAAGAGAGAGGATCTCCAGAAGGGATCCTTCCCCTCTGGTATCCAGCTCTTAAGCAGGTCTAGGAGGGGTGCAGCCAGGCTCCACCCCTTCTGGCAGCACAGGTGAATTGCCTGCAGCTGTGCTCCTCTGGCTGACTCATGGCTCGCCTCAGGTGATCAATCAGAGGTTCAGGCCGTGACTCAGCAGTTCCCATACAGGTCTACACCTGGATTTAATTTTGGCATGCACTGTTGACAGCAATGAATGTCTCATGCAAGAATACATGTGCTTGTGTATTTCTTTAAAAGCTCAGTGTCTGCTTTACTGCAATGCCAGAAACCCACAGTCAAGATGCGGATGTAATTGTTCTAGGTACTGTACAAATGTGATGAGGGAAAGCCATTTCACACTGAAATACTGCTTGAAAACAGAGGACTATTTGTGGCTGGAAGTGCCAGTGTTTATTTCAACTCAGGCCAAGTACTTTTGCCTCTGCTGCCTCCCTTTTGAGAGTATATCTTTTTATATTGCACTGCCAATCTCATCTCAGATTTTCCAAGCTCCAGGGGGATATGAAGTGTGTTATCTGTCATACTGATGGGAACACGAGCTGCATTTTGGGCAAAAGGGCTATTCAAGAGAAATGACACTGCCAATACACTCAGCCCTGCAGAACAAGCAAACTGACATTGCTACTTGAAATTAAAAAAGTGAAGCATCACAAATCACCACAATTCCCAAATGTGGGAGAACCAGCCAAGTCCTGGGTTCTTGTACACATCGTGCTGAGATCTGTGAGCAGGTTTGTTTTGTTTTGTTTTGTTTTTGAAAGTTTCCTCTGGAGACAGAATTTTGTTTAGAAAGAAATTATCAGTGTTTGCTGACACTTACATTCATCACAGCTATTTACTGATTCACTTACTGTGATTAATAGGATAGCAAATGATGAATATTTAATAGAGAACACTCTGCAAATGGTCAAGGCAACAGCAAAATATTTAATGCTTCAGAGCAAACAATGTGTATGGAAATATACGTCCTTCTGCCTTCCCATCCCTGTCTTCTTCCATCCCCTGGTGTGAGTGTTGCAGGGTCTCTGGCTGGCTTTGGGCACGGTTTTGGCAGCTGTAAGCATGGTAGTGCTTCTCCAGTGGCATGCATAGACACCAATAGAATAAATGTAAATTTATGGGTTTTTGAAGGGGAAGGAGGAAGCTTCATGGTCACTGTGATTATAGTTTGGTATTCCTCATTACATTTTATCCTGCTTCTCTTTAGATCGTACTAATTGCTGCTGCAGGTGGAGATTTTATATTTATTAATACATCTTTATATTTTTAAAATAACATATTTATTAAAATATCTTTGGCAGTCTTCAGCCATGTGAATAGAAATGCCTATGATCACAGTGAGGTTAATCTCACTGAATGATTCAACCACTCAGAGTATTTTTAGGAAAATGATGAGGAAGGGTGGGTACTCAGTTTCCCCATCGCTTTTGGACACAAACACGAAACCCAGCAGCATATGGCCCTCTGTCAGACTGGGGAAATCCTCCTCTTCTTTCACAGAGGCACCAGCAATTTCCAGGAATCCCCCTGGGCAGTGGCTCCTAAAAAACAGGTGGGATTGCACAGCTCCAGGCCTGTTTGCCAGCTTTTTATCCACCTGCTGCCCTAATTTGGCTGTTCTCCCCTCAGTCCCTTGCTCCACACCACCCCTCTGCATCTCTGCCTGCCAATTGCTTTTCAGAAGGGAAGAAGTCAGACTGCTTAATGAGGACTTCATGGCTACAGGATAGTAGCACTACTAAGCAGAATTTAGGGCATTGCTTCATCATGGAGATGAACCACCTCTACCACTGGAAGAGATGTTACAATACAATATAATTTCCCATGTACTTGCTGCTTACTTATTAAGCTGTGTTTTGAATCTCGTGGCTTAGACCTCAGAGCATATTTTCTAGAAGCAGTTGATTTTATGAGCAAGCAGGAGGTTGGCAGGCTACCAGGGGAAGTAGAACCAAAAAGTGATTTTCGTTCTCCAAAGGCTAGTAAGCTGACTGCTGGTAATGTGCCAGGTGCTCCCTAGCTCTGACAGATCTGTATTCCACATTCACAGATCTCCTGAGGAATTCAGGAGTCTCCTTGTTAAGCCTCTTAAATCCCCCTGACATTTCCAACAGCAACTTAGATTTTATCACTAATATAAGAAAACTCACAGTTTCTCTGGATGTAGTCCACCTTATCTCAACAATTGAAAGGGAGCTTGATAAAAGTATAAAGACCTTTTTTGTTTTGTTTTGTTTCTATTGATATATGAAACCACTTGAATATGCCAATATCCTTGCATCAGTCCAAAGCAAATAAAAATGCTCTGACATACTTGAGCATTTGGTGCATTACCACTCCGGCACCGTTGAGCCTCCTGAACAAGGATAGCAGATGAAATTGTACCCTGAGCACCACAACCATAATATCTGTGTATTCATGTAAGTAGTGTGTTTGAGGGCACCTCTGGAGATATCTAGTTCAGCTTCCCTGTCCAGAACAGGGTCAGCTGCAGCGGGATGTTGAGGGCTGCTCCTAGTCTGTCTTCTTACTTTCTCTGAACAACTTGTTCTGTTGTTCTATCTTCATGGTAAAAAAGTGTTTTCTTTTGTGTAATTTCCCATATTTCAGTTTGTGCCCATTTCCTCTTTTCCTGTCACAGTGCACCACTGAGAAGAATGCCTCTGCTTTCTTCGCTCCCCACATCAGGCATTTGCAGACACTGGTAAGGTCCTCCAGAGACTTCTCCAGGAATAACAATCCTCCCAGCTCTCTCAGTCTCTCCTCACATGTTGATCCTCCAGTCCATCACCTGTGTGGCCATCTACTGGACTCACTCCAGTATGTCCATGCATGTCACGTACTGGGGAGCCCAGAAGGAGACACAACAACCCACTGCCAAGCACAGGAGAAGGATCACCTCCCTCACCCTGCTGGCAGAGTTCTGCTCAGTGCAGAACACCTCACTGGACATTTGTCTACCCTTACTTCAAGCTTTTTTCTAAAAGAATATTTTAGGAGACTGTGTACTAAGCTTTACCAAAGTCAAGATATACAACATCCACTTTGCCTTGGTCTTTACTGGTAAGATTTGCTTTTGAGGATCACAGGCTCCTTAAGACCAGTGAGAAATGTTCTTCTTCCATGTCATCTCCCAGCCACAGAGCCACAGAGTCAGGAGACATGTGGGTGGGAGGAAACTGCAGCATAGTCCACAGCTCTTGCCATGGTTCCATCTCCTGCTGGCCCTGCTTTCCTGGCAGAACATGTCTACAAAAGGCAGTGTTATTTCAGACTGCCTCGCATTCACAGTAAGAAACTTGTGCTATGCAGGCATGTATGACTGCTGTCAGATTGCCTACCTTATTTCTTACTTCACTTGGAAGTCAGGTAGGGCAAATTGATAGAAGAGGGCTGTTGGCAACCTGAGCCTTTCAGTGATGAAGTTATGTGCAGAGTGAAGGATGGGCCTGCTGGAAAGGGAGACTGTTCAACTGGTTTGACAGATAGAATGTTGAGGGCCTTCCTTGTTTCTGCCATTGCTTTCCTAGTCATGGCAGATCTCTTTCGCAGGGCTGAAGATTAATACCTGCTGGCACTCCCCAACTGCTGTGACAAATATTTCTTGTAACATTAATGAGGAACAGCATGGAACTCAAGTCTGAAATGAAAACACGTTATGTGCTAAGGGTGCAGAAAATAAAAGCTCAGGCATCTG